CCTGGATTGCGAGCACATCTGAACACTCACAACCAAGAAATTCCATTCTATTTTCTTACCTCGGACTGGAGTCGCCTGTCCTTGCGCTGTACACCTCACGCTTACGCAGTGGGAACGGGGGGAAGCCCACAGCTTCAGGCACTTGGTAGTTTAAATGCCGTACAGATCTATTTTTTCAAATAACAAAATCCACAGATGCAGTATGAATTGTGTAAGAAACAGTAGGATATCCTTGTCAGAAATAAGTTTAGTTTTCCATTTTCACATTCATATTAGCAAGTTTTGTTTCACCTGTGTTTCTACAAGACTGAAATTTCTAGAAACTTGCTCATTACCTTCTAAATACTTACTGTTGCTTGGCCCTGTGCTACAATTTACCCAGGGTGTCCAATAGGATCCTAATAATGGTATTTCCTCCATGTATGCGTACAGATGCTAAAATATGAAAGCCCATAACTTGAGAAATATTATGCATAGTTTATGAGGGAAGGAGTTACTGCACCACATGGAAACTTAGCTTTGAATAAAATGTAATGTACCTGCAATTAAGTGTTCTTTTTTACTACATTTTATTAAAACTTGCTTTATACTTTCAATTGCTTGTAGGCACAGCTTCTGTAAGTTTAAATATTTGAGCTTTAAAAATAATACACACACTGTTCTGTAGATAAAGCAACCAGAAAGCCCATGTTCACTGTTTAACAGCACTGCCATTTTTCAATGTTTGGCACTCCTGAGGAGTTATGAACACGAAGTTAACCACAGGCTCTCTCTGAATATGGGGGGTCTCTGAACTTGCCCAGGGATGGGCAGGAGGTTAAAGGCCTGTCTAATTAGAGAATACAGTATATGCAATCAACTATATGCACGAAAGCTCTCTGCATGGACTAAACGGACTCGCTGCTGCACTGTCACACTAGCTCTGGTACTACCGGCTACTCTCAAAACATACCCCACCGCAGAAAACCCGGCACTGACACTGGGTGTGTGGGTTACCTGCGCAAGAGGGAAACACGGTTTTCCTTTGCGGGCAGAGGGGAAAGGTGGGCTTAAGGGTGGTTCTTGAACTCTATTTGGACATGAGCATGTACGAAATTCTAATTTATGTGGCCAGCAGGCTCCCCATACAGAAATCACTTTGGGGTTTACAAGAAAAAGAATTGTCTTAAAGTCCTGTTTTCTGTCATCACCTCCGGACATGTATTTCACGGTTAAGTTCTAAACATTAAAATGTTAGCTGGAGATAACATCACATGTTCTTGTCCGTTACTACCTCTGTATGCTACCAGGGAGCTTGGGGCTGGGCCTGTGGGAATGAGATGGATGCAAATGGATTTCTTCAGTTGTTCCCAGAGTCGTCAGCCCAGGAACTCACTGGGCTGCTAGGTCAGCTGAGTTGTCAACTGGAAAATGCAATTCATTAGCACAGAGCAATAAAAGCATTTTGTGCATTCAATCTCACGAACTACTATCTGATCCTTCATTATAAGGCATGCTTTCTATCTAAAAAACACAGATGACATAAAGTAAATGTCATCTAGATACAAACTGCCACCAGCTCAGCAGTGCTGAGTACAGGAATCTAAAGCAAACTTCAGGGCAAGCACTGTGATGCAGCCGGTTAAGCCACTGCCTGTAACACGAGCATGCAGTGTGAACGCCAGCCGCTCCACTTCAGAGAACACAGATGGAATTTCAAGCTCCTGGCTTCAGCCCAGCACAGGCCAGGTTGTGGTGACCATTTGGGGAGTGACCCAGATGAAGATCTCGCTCTCTTCCTTTCAGAGTTAAACATACTTTCCACCAGCTGGTTTACTCCCATGATAGTCCTCCTAGCGGTCAGGGCTCAGCAGGTCAAAGTCAAGAGCCAAGAACTGGGTCTCCTCCATGAGTAGCAGGGGCTCAGACTGTTTTCTCTAGGCCATCAGCAGTGAGTGGATCCAAAGTGGAGCAGCTGAGACACCAACTGCTGCATATGAGATGCTGGTGAGGCACAAAGGAGCTTCACCCACTATAAAACACTGGCCCCCTTTCGTCTCCCTTATTATTGGAAAACAGGTATGGCTAGTTTCTCATTGGATTTTAGAATACTATGCACTAAGGTTAAAGCTTCTCAAATTCAACAAGAAGAACCATCAAATAAGAAACAAACACAGGGCCCAGTGCGGTGGCCTAGTGGCTAAAATCCTCGCCTTGAATGCGCCAGGATCCCACATAGGTGTCAGTTCTAACCCCAGTGGCCCCAGCGGCCCCGTTTCCCATCCGTTTCCCATCCAGCTCCCTGCTGGTGGCCTGGGAAAGCAGCTGAAGATGGCCCAAAGCCTTGGGACCCTGCACCCACGTGGGAGACCTAGAGGAACTTCCTGGCTCCTGGCTTTGGATCAGCACAGCACTGGCCATTGCAGTCACTTGGGGAGTGAATCATCAGACAGAAGATCTTTCTCTCTGTATATCTGACTTTACAATAAAAATAAAATTAAAAAAAAAAAAGAAGCAAACAGATATTACTTAGATGTGGAGACTGGATAGCCATTTTTCCAATAAAGTAAACCCCTGCAACATGTAGCAGGTAAAGCTGCTACCTGTGGTGGGTGCCAGCATCCCATCTGGGCACTGGTTCAAGTCCCAGCTACTCTACTCCCAATCCAACTCCCTACTAGCACACCTGGGAAGGCAATCAAGGATGCCCCAAGTGCTTGCGCCCCTGTATCAACATGGGAAGCTCCTGGCTCCTGGCTCTGAGCTGGCCCAGCTGCAGCCATCACAGCCACGTGGGGACTGAGCCAGCCAGAGGAAGACCGCTCTTCCCACCTTTCTAACACTGCAAAGATCCTCTCAACCCCTCAACCTTAGAGCAACTCCCTGCCCGAGAGTCCCAGGAGGGAAGGTCACCTCACCAGAGCCATGTACAACATATGTACCCTTCCTGGCCTATCTCCTGGCACAACATGGACTGGAACATTCCCTACAGACACGGAAACCAAGGGCAGGAAGGACAGTGGCCCAACGCGGCAGAGCCCTGACACTCACTTCTTCCGGTGCAGTGACAGCTGACAAAGTGCCACTGTCCTGTACTTACCACAGGGTTCTCAGAAACTCTAGGGGAAATCGAAACTTTAAAAATCAAAGTTTAGGGCCCGGCGCGGTGGCGCAAGTGGTTAAGGTCCTCGCCTTGCATGCCCGGGATCCCATATGGGCGCCAGTTCTATCCCAGCAGCCCCACTTCCCTTCTAGCTCCCTGCCTGTGGCCCGGGAGAGCAGTCGAGGACAGCCCAAAGCTTTGGGACCCTGCACCTGCGTGGGAGACCCGGAAGAGGCTCCTGGCTTCAATCGGCATAGCATCGGCCCGTTGCGCTCACTTGGGGAGTGAATCATCGGACGGAAGATCTTCCTCTCTGTCTCTCCTCTCTGTATATCTGCCTTTCCAATAAAAAAATAATAATAATAAAAAAAATCAAAGTTTAATCAGAGGTATTAGTATTTTTAAGTTGCCACATACCAAAAAAGACAACCAGTAAATTTCAACCCAATATTTTTATTTTGCTGTAAACAAGAGAACTAAGAGTAGGAAAACGAAGACGTTCCAGTATTTTAACCTTCTACCTCTCAAGGGTTTAAAAAACATGAATCGCTTTGAATCCCACTGCAGCAGGATCTTACTTGCTGGTATTGGTCTGGAGCCTTGTTAGGATGATTCTGCAGTGTGTTCTTATCTAAATCAGATTCTGCACATCACAAACCTATGTGCCAAGAAGCTTTTTTGGGGCGGAGGAGAATTCTGTGGAAAGGTCTTAGCCAACAGTAAGTACCAGAGGAATAAATCCTTAATGGAAATCGGTAACGTATGCCTTATGTGCTTTGGTACAAGTATCTTACAGCATAGACAGTTACAGAAAAGAATACCTTGGGAAAAACTCAGGACAGAAATTTCTACTTATTCTATTCATTTTTGTATATATTCCCGGCTCATTAACTTGAGGAATTCCTTAGCATGAGGCTGCTCCCCCATCTCCCCTCTCTCACAGAACACTGGGAATGCTGGTGGGCTTGTCCCCATTTGCAAGGCACTGCCACCTAGTGGCAAGCATTTCCCAAAACTCAACCACGGGATAAGTGAATGCGTTCGATCAACAAACTCCTGACCACCAACGGTAAAGTCAAACCACTACACACGATCCAGTGTTGACACTCAGAAAATAACACACCTAAGAAAGGTAAAGAACCGCAACTCTGAGACATGATCCTCAGCTGCAGACGCTGATCCGGGTCACTGAGTGAAGGGACCACGGTGCCCGGCTTCCCTCCAGGCACGCGATCCAGGCACAGTGCGCAGCAGCAACAGTTCTGACGTTCGCCCTCTTCTAAAGCTGAAAGCCAATCATCTCACAACAAGTGGGAAATAAAGCTTAGAAATATACTTTCCTTAAGATAACATTTATAGGAAATTACTAGGGTGGTCAAGAGTTAACAGTGATATGATATCAATATCATAGTATCAGTTTAAAAAAATTCCCAAACCTTTTTAAGTCATGAAACACAGCAGAAATGGTAAAATCTGCTTTTTAAAAAATCAAAAATCCCAAACCCTACAGGAGCCTGCCACGAGCTGGACTGCAGGAGCTGAGCTCATGGACTCCGAGTCCAGGGCGCCCTGAGCAGCCAGTGGGGAAAGTCCTCACGGAAAATGCTGACAAGCACCCAAAGGCTTCTTAGAATTCCACCCCTAAAATTGACTCTGGTCTCTTTCACATGTCAATAATCAGCAAAAGAGGCTCTCAACATCTCAGTGGCCCGAGTCCCTGGCCAGAGGAAACAATGAGTCCAATGTCTTCACACATCAGAACATGGCAGGTCACACCGACCTCCGGCACCGGGGCCAGAGGCGCAGGCCGAGCAGCCCGCCTGAGCCCCGCACGACCACGCTCAGATGCCTCCGCACTATTTTTAGATTACTACCTTGGCTGCCTTTCTTCTTTCAAAAATAACAACTCTTCCACACGTTTTGCATCCACAAATTAGAAAAACCACATTTTTAATATTGAGTTACTTCAAATGAGAAATTCAGAGAGGTGTCAACACGAAGCTTCTGTCCAGTCCCCTGGGAAGAGGATTCATTCTGATATTTATGGTTTCTACAAAGTCATAATACTGTGCTGGGAACACAGAGAACCTGTTATTAACTTCTTGCTACTATTATAAATAATAACAGCCTCACCCAGGTTACAGTGACCTCTGACAGACCAAGGAAACGAGTGACTTTCCCCACTTGTGTAATTATTACACATTGTGAGATACTTCTTGCCTTTTAATAAATGTCCTGGTACTTGGAGTCTCCCTTTTGATTATTTAATTTAAACAACTGTCAAAAAGAGCCAATAAACAAATACTGGATTACATTCTGGAGAGTTTTTTAAATAAGCCCTCAAACTCCAGACTAGAAAAACATCTTGTGTGCCTCCCACCCTGACCACCCTGTACCGCAGGCCACCCGCGGCTACAGAGCCGGGGACTAAGCTGCCGTGGTCTACTTGGAGCCAGTGGACAGGAGGGCGATGAGTCCGGAGGAAGCACTGATGGATAAAATGTAGTTCCTGTAAGAGTTTCGTGTTAAGGCAAAATTCAGAAAACAAAATTACTTTGTCAACAAAATGAAAGAGACCGTTTCTTGGAATGCACTGCTCCCCTCCCTACGCCCAGTGAACTCACCAGGCTGTGCGGCTCCATTGTTTGCAAATTCAGTTTACAAGCCAGGAGACCACTGGGAATGAAAAACACTCACAGGAAATGGGTTCCAATTTTAAAGAGAAAACTCAGGACAGAAACCTAGAACACATCTGAATCCTATTTAACCTTCAGGAGCGGCCTGATCAAAGAACACGGAGAGAAATTTGTTCTCCCTCCCCCCCAGCAGCAAAGGGAAAGCACGTTCTCCTTGTCAATCACTGTTTTGATGTAACTGGCTCGAAAAAGCAAGGAGGTTCTCAAAATCCACAGCTATTCCCAGCCTACAAAACGGACAGTTTTCAGCAAACGACTTCAGCGTTCCCAGAAGATATAAACTGAGGGCATCTGATCTTCTACCACACCATATTCTCCAATTGCTCACAATTTGGCTGCACATTCCGGTACATTCCTTTAAGGGTGTTACTTTAATAAGAGACGACCAAGTCTTGCCCACAAGCTCAAATAAAGACACACTGCTGAATACTATGAACTGTGTCTATTTAACTACACTAGCCACCCATCCAACCCCAAGTCCGAGAATAGCAGCAGGCTCATGCCTTAAGCCAGCAGTTATCAAAGTCCAGTTTGTTAAGATTCTTAGAACCTGTTTGGCAGAAGCTGTACATAAATCCCACAATGTAGGGTGGTTCTGTAATGCTTATTACTTATCATACCATCTGCAAACTTCAGAGAATTTTGAGTCAAACCAAGTTACTGCAAATGCCTACAAACTTGTCTAAAATCAGTTATCCCACTGACTCCCGAGCAGCCTTCTTCCACTCCGAGGTCTGCAGAGGCTGAAACCACAGGGACCCACTGCTGTCAGGCTTCTTACAAAGGATACACTGTGGGGTTGAAGTTCTTCAAAATAAAGAAGGAGGCTACAATGACCAGGACCAGGAACAGAGTGTTGTTATAGAAGATGGAGAATGTTGTAGCTTCGTAATCAGCGACTTCATTCTTCTTCCACAAGATTCTGGAGACACAGAAACAAATTAAACAAGTTTATGATTTAAAAACCTTAAATACTATAGAGCTCTAGTTGATCATAACGCAAGTTTCTCTTTATGCTCAAAGGTGAGAATGTGTTTTTGATTTTAAATTTAGTGAAAACGATCCTTTGTGTCACTGAAAAAGCTATTTCTGTTAGTGCTAAAAACAAGAACAATTAAACACTTGCTGCCTATCAGGCAGGGCTACAGGGGAAGGAACAGCCTCACTGCAACCCCTGGGAGCCCCCAGCACCCGCCCCAGCACCGCCCCAGCACCTGCCCCAGCACCCCAGCACCCGCCCCAGCACCTCCCCTAAAGCTTGACTGATGAGCAGCTTGACGGAACTTTCTTTACCTGTGTCCTGGTGACTTGAGGATCTTTACAGCTTATGAATTTCAACCCTCAAGTTCACACCGCAAAAGACAATTCCAACGCCCAAAACTAGCTGTGCTCTCTCAGAAACAGACTGTTATTAAACCTCTTGACTTCAATCTGCTGGATCAGCATTTTCTCACTTTTGCAAAAACCCTTTTACATTTTCCTATCTGTTTTACTTGTTATGATATTATTAGCATGTTACCAGCCTTACCTCTTCACACAGAAAGGAGGAAAGTCCTGGGTGCCAGTGCATAGGGCAGCCCTTATTCCCCGTCAGTATTAACTCTGGACAGCAGCAGTTTTTACAAGGGTATCTTGTAACCCACTAGTTGGGTGTATACACATATTTATTGTAGGTCATTTTGTGTATATATACATATTTATTGTAGGTCATTTTAAACAAAAAAATCAAAGGGAAGGACATTACATTAAATGCACCTGCCAACTATCAAATGTCTTCTGAACTCAGAGTTTAGATATGAAATTGTAAATATGGGAATCTTGCTGTCCTAACATCATTAGAAAATCCTAATATTGGCCAGAGAAAATCGAACCCAGTAGGATGCATAGTCCTAACACAGCTTAGTGCTAGATAACCAATCACCTCCATTTTTGAGACTCTGACACAGAGGTGGGGAACCCTTTCTCTATCAAGACTCATGGGGATATTTATTACATCATTCGTGGATCACACAAAAACTATCAGCTTAAAAATAAAATAAGTCTGCCATGGATTATTGAATCCTGAGTCTCTCCTGTAGTTGCCTTGGTAGGACCAGATCAGAAGATTCCAGGGGCCTTACACGGTCTACAGGCTGGACATGGGCCACCCCTGCTCCAGCTCAAGACCCAAGGAGAACAGGTGCCTGAAGTGGGTCACTCACAGACTTTACATAAACTCCGCCTTAGCACGGCATTCTCCCTCCCTCTCCTTCTGTCATGCCCTGAATCAGAACCATCTTGAGGATTCTGATTAAAGCAGCGGCCCAGTCTCGTAGGTGACCCTAGTTACCAATGAGGCCATGGGTTTCATCAGTGAATATACAGAACTGCCCGAGAGCGTTCCCAACTTTTTTCTAGCCCACCCATATTCTGGTCTCAAAACAATCAGAAATCCCTCCAGATCTTTACTGCCAATGGTTGCAGGAAAGCTTCACTGGTAGAAAATCTGGTTTGGGCAAGCACTTCCCAAGGAGTCATTTTTGTAAACAGAGCTTCCTACACGAAGGGAAAACTTGAGACTGCAAGGCAGCTGTTACACATAACGTCAAATGACAGAGCAGCAGGAAATCAAGAGGAAATAACCCTCACGCCTCGGGACAAACGTTACTGAGTGTGATTCTCCTCTGCTTATGCCCATCAGGAGGCAGACGGTGCTTCTAAAGCATGCTCAGAGTGGTAAGCAGTCTGTATTCCAAGTGACCAGGTCTTTGAAGCACGCACAACTAGGCAAAGAGGAATGTATGAGCCTGATCTTATTTCAAGTCTCTTGAAATGAGAAATATCCAAGACTATAACGCGAGTCTGGTCCCACCCACGGTCAGCATCAGCCATGAGCCCAGACCGGGCAAAGCTGTACCCAGTGCGGGGCTCCTGTGCGACACCAACAATGCTGATGACACTCAGCACCTTCCATGTCCGAGAAACCCACCTGTCCTGACACAGCTCCCAGCAACAAGAACCAGGGCCCACACACGCCAGGCCCAGGATGGCGGTCAGAAGAGATCTGTGCCCACCCATGCCAGGCCCAGGGTGGCAGTCAGAAGAGATCAGTGCCCACCAATGCCAGGCCCAGGGTGGCAATCAGAAGAGATCTGTGCCCACACACACCAGGCCCAGGATGGCGGTCAGAAGAGATCAGTGCCCACACACGCCAGGCCCAGGGTGGCAGTCAGAAGAGATCTGTGCCCACCCACGCCAGGCCCAGGGTGGCGGTCAGAAGAGATCTGTGCCCACCCATGCCAGGCCCAGGGTGGCGGTCAGAAGAGATCTGTGCCCACACACACCAGGCCCAGGATGGCGGTCAGAAGAGATCTGTGCCCACCCATGCCAGGCCCAGGGTGGCGGTCAGAAGAGATCTGTGCCCACACACGCCAGGCCCAGGGTGGCGGTCAGAAGAGATCTGTGCCCACCCATGCCAGGCCCAGGGTGGCAGTCAGAAGAGATCAGTGCCCACCCACGCCAGGCCAAGGGTGGCAGTCAGAAGAGATCAGTGCCCACCCATGCCAGGCCAAGGGTGGCGGTCAGAAGAGATCAGTGCCCACCCACGCCAGGGCCAGGGTGGCGGTCAGAAGAGATCTGTGCCCACCCATGCCAGGGCCAGGGTGGCGGTCAGAAGAGATCTGTGCCCACCCATGCCAGGCCCAGGGTGGCAGTCAGAAGAGATCTGTGCCCACCCATGCCAGGCCCAGGGTGGCAGTCAGAAGAGATCTGTGCCCACCCATGCCAGGCCCAGGGTGGCGGTCAGAAGAGATCTGTGCCCACCCACGCCAGGCCCAGGGTGGCGGTCAGAAGAGAACTACCTACCACCCCAATGCAGTGCACACAATCCGAAGGAACGCTAACAAGCACTTTGAATTTGGATAATTGTGATACACATCCCAGTTACGAAAGTCTGTTCTAATAATTATAACTCAATAGAAAGGGTTTCCAAAAGGGTGCAAAAGCAGGCCACGACAAAGCTCTGCAGCCAGACCTCACACCGCCTCCCCCACCCGCCTCTCACCAGCACGGTGTTAGTATTATGTCTTGCGTTCTGTAAAGCCGCCACAGGAAATAATCATGTCAATAATATTTTGGTGCCCTTCCCAAACCGCGGTAGAAGAAACTGTTCATGAAGTTACTCAGTGTCCCTTAAATAAGTATTCACTTGATAAAGTCCTTCCAGGAATCTGTGCCAGGAAAGTTTCTCTTCAGAAGGACTCGCACACTGCTTCTCATCAGGCAGTGAAAGCAGCATGACCTCACGCGCTTCCCACACTCTCAGAAGCTCAGAAGCAAGTTTGGGGCTCAGCCACTGTGACCGACTCCAAAGTCCTGTTCAAACACTTCTTCCTCATCTTTTAAAAGTGCATTATTTTGTTTTATATATACATTGACAGTGCAAGTCTCCCAGTGTCTCTGGAACAAAGTGTGGTAAGAAATTCTGTTCCACAAAGCACCTTACTAATGCTACATCTAAAGAAAAGTAACCCCTCATGACTCTCACGTTACTGTTGTTCCCCCAGTCTTCTCAGAAAACAGCTGGCTTGAAACACGGGGAGTGGAGGCTAACAAATGTGGAACAGATTTCAGTGACAGGAGACAAACCCAGTTATTCTCTAAGGTGGCTCAGCTCTCACGGGCTGACCGAGCACTGGATGAAGCTCCCCGGCCTGCAGTCCAGCAGTTACGGCACCAGCTCATCACACTGCCTGGGTTCTCACTGTGGATCCACCACGCACCGATCTACAAAGCTACGCAAGAAATCCAAGCCCTTTCTTCCTTCGTTTCCTCCGCATAACGTGGGACTGCCACCAGTACCTCTCTCGAGGGGCTTTAGAAGAGCAAGTCAATCGCATATAACCCAAAGAGAGGCATTTGATAAGTATCAGAGACTCAAAAGATCAGCTACTACTATTCCCATTGCCACCTCTACGACTCCGAAGCCCAAAGTCTATATTCCAAAATAAAAACTGGGCTTCCCCAACGCATTCCTCTTCCGATGACCACAAACACCGTAAGAGTCCAACCTTTCGTCCTTTTCCTTCCGAGACATCTTCCTGTTGTCGGCTTCCGAAAGTTTCCGAGTCACTTCCTTGGAAACAGCATCCTCCCTCTTCTGTGCTACCCTGAAGAGAAGAAAGATGTTGTCACACGTCCCGGGGCCGAACACATCTCCGAAACACACACACAGCAAGGAAGGCACCGGACACTTCATGCTTTAGTCACATCAACCGGACACAAAGTTCCGAGTTTATTACACTGTATAACTAGCCAAAAAAGGAGTCCAAGAAACTTACAAGACGTGCTTTGATTTCTGCTTAAAAGGGAAAATTTTCCAAAGTTTAAGTATCTGATATGGATATAAAAGTCAAATGTTATTAGCACAATCAGCTACACATCACTATAACTACATTTTGTTCTGACCTATAATTTAATCATTCAACAAATAAATTTCAGAAAGTATTAGCAAATGATACATGATTTTAATTCCAAGGAAATTACAGGAGAGTGGAAAAAAAGGCTAATAAACAAATGGGAAAAAAAAAAAACCAACAGCTGTGGGTGGGTGTGGCATGGTAGCCCAGTGGCTAAATCCTCGCCTTGCATGCACCAGGATCCAATGAGGCCTGGGAAAGCAGTAGAGGACGACCAAACCCTTGGGACCCTGCACCCGGACGTGGGAGAACCAGAAAAAGCTCCTGGCTCCTAATCAGCTCAGCTCTGGTTGTTGAGGCCACTCAGGAAGTGAACCAGTGGATGGAAGATCTTTCTCTCTCCTTCTCTCTCTATATCTGCCTTTCCAATAAAAAGAAACATATCTTTTAAAAAAAAGAAAAGCTGTAATTTCTTCAGGTTATGCTTTTAACTCTACTCCAAAGGGCACTTTCATTCAAAAGAAACAATACCACTTAGTCAGAGACTGACCGTGTCACTTTTGAATTAAACATTGACTTTTGTGGGTTGTATCAAAAGGTAACAAGGAATGAGCTGCAAAAGGTCGGAAGTGTTATCCAAAAGGCGACCTCTGCTGTCAAGTCAGAGGAGGAAAAAATGTACATAATAACCGTCAATCTAAATTACATATCTAAAGAAAATCCACAGGTCCAAGTCATCAGGAGTTGCTACTGAAGGATGATAAAATTTAGAAGTCTCTGCAGACCATGACACCTTAATACAACACACTTTCTTTTATAGTACAAGAGCAACTTACTGGCTGGCTATATATACACAAGATACAGAATGATCTTCAGCAAAATTGAACAAATTCCCCATCTGCCACCTCCCAGCAGGAAGTAGACCAGACAGAAATGAGCTCACCGTGTCCCAGCAACCTCCCCGTTCCTATACCATCGGGAAGGACTTTGGAAAGGAAATTCAAACATTGTGCAAGACGACAGTTTCCAAACTTCATTCACCACAAGAGTCTGAGATAAACATTTCACACAAACGGTGAATTTTCCCATAACCCCATCTGTACCTCTCTCAAGCCAAAAATTCAATAAACTAATATTGCTAAAAACAAGATCTTTAATTAGCCCTTTTTTGTAAAGTTTTTACAAGTTTCTTTTTAACTAGGTTACTTCACAAAGATCAGGAACAGGAGGGAAAAAATGAAAAAGAAATAAAGTTCTAGAAATCTAAAGAAAAGGAAGAGAAGGAAGCAGTTATTATATTTTTAAAATGTCATTTGAGGGGCCCGGCGACGTGGCCTAGCACATCCTTCAACGCCGGGATCCCAAATGGGCGCCGGTTCTAATCCCGGCAGCTCCACCTCCTATCCAGCTCCCTGCTTGTGGCCTGGGAAAGCAGTCGAGGACAACCCAAAGCCTTGGGCCCCTGTACCCACATGGGAGACCCAGAAGAGGTTCCTGGTTTCTGGCTTTGGATTGGCACAGTACCGGCCACTGCGGTCATTTGGGGAGTAAACCAGCGGATAGAAGATCTTTCTCTCTGTCTCTCCTCCTCTCTGCTTATCTGACTTTCCAATAATAATAAATAAATCTTTTTAAAAAAAAATGTCATTTGAGTGTGGAGGCACAGAAAACTAACCCTCTGCCTGTAGTACCAGCATCCCACACGGGCACAGATTCTGGTCCCAGCTGCTCCACTCCCAACTCAGCTCCCTGCTTATGTGCCAGGAAGAACAACAGAAGCTGGGTGAGTGTCTGGGCCCCGCACCAATGTTGGAGACCCAGAAGAAGCTCCAGGCTCCTGGCTTCAGATACGCCAACTCCAACCATTGCAGCCACTTGGGAAGTGAACCAATGGATAGATCTTTCTGTCTCTTTTCTCAGTAAATACGCCTCTCAAAATATAAATTAGTTAATTTTTTATAAAAAAGAAATGTTATTTGAGAGGAAGGAACAAAGAGAGAAAGACCTCTGCCCTGTGCTGGTTTATTCTCCAAATGCAAGGCAAGGTGGGGCCAGGCAGTAGCCAGGACTGGGAGGGTGGCAGGTGGGCGGCTGGTGGCAGGGACATAGCTCATGGAGCCACCCCTGCTGCCACCCAGGGCTTACCTAGCAGGAAGCTGCACTCCAGAGAGGTGCAGGGATCTCAACCCAGACACTCAGGTTGGATATGTGCATCCCAAGTAACAGCTGCCATTTTTGTCTCAAAGATTTATATTTTATTTATTTTTATTGGAAAGGCAGATTTACAAAGACAAGCAGAGACAGAGAGAAAGATCTTCCATCCACCAGTTCACTCCCCAAATGGCTGCAGTGGCTGGAGCTGAACTGATCCAAAGCCAGGAGCCTCCTCCAGATCTCCCATGTGAGTGCAGGGTCCCAAGGCTTTGGGTCATCCTCATCCTTTCCCAGGCCACAAGCAGGGAGCTGGAAGGGAAGTGGAAAAGCTGAGACATGAATTGGCATCTGTTTGGGATGTCAGCACTTGGAATTGGAAGATTAGCCACTTGAGCTATTGCATCTGCCCCAACCCCCACAACAGTAACATCTCAACGGACACCAAAGACTCAACCCTAGAACTTGTGCTTTTAATATTTAAAAAGTAAGGAGGATGATCATGTGTGCATGCGTACCCCTCTACTTTAGCCTGTCAAATAATTCTAGGGGGAAAAACTACAAAATGGGGCCAGTGGTACTGGATCAACAGGCTGAGCCACTCCTGCAATGCTGTCGGCAACTCCACTTGTAATCCGGCTCTCAGCTAATGACCTGGAAAAGCAGCCTGGACCCTGCGCCCACGTGGCAGAAAGCCTGGTCAGCCACAGGCTGGCAGCCATTTGGGGAATGTACTAGTAGACAGAGGAGTATCCTTGCATGCTCTCTATCTCTACCATCTCTCTAATCCTGCCTTTCAAATACTTAATAAATTTAAAAACAAAGAGTTTAGGGCCCTCGCTGCAGGACTGCACTTCACCAGAGTAACATTATGTAACAACTGTCTCTCCAGGCACTTTCGCTCCTGAGACACTAGGCCGACCCTTCTCTCTGAACCTCTCCAGGAGATCAGACACTTAAGTTTTTGTAACTTAGTATCAAACTGTTTTTAACTGTTTTTTTTCTACAAAATATCAGCAAAGAAGAATGGCCAGGGCTTACAGCAGGAACTTCTCTTAGCTGAATGTAAAAACCACATGGACGCCTCCACTGTCAGAGTGCTGGGACACAGACACAAGCTAGTGTCCAGAAGCAGAATTGGTGAAGCACAGCTCGGGGAGAAGCCCTCACTAGGACTCCTAGACACTAACTCAGAGAGGCCGCTGCCCACAGCACTGGCACCACATACAAGGGCAGCCTGGAGTCCCCAGTTCCTCCAGCCCCCTGCTACTGTGTCTGGAAAAACAGCAGAAGATAGCCAAGTGTTGGGAGACCTGGGTGAGGTTCCTGGTTCCTGGCTTTTGCCCAGCCTATATCAGAGTTGGGGCAACTGAGGAAATGACCTAGCAGATAAAAAAACCTTTGTCTCTACTGGCAAGCACGGGAACCAGGGTAGGAGGCAGAACTGATAGGGGTTTTGGGGTGTCGCTCCAACTAGGCTGCAGCTCCAACTGGTTTGCATGAGGACCCAGTATGAAGTGGGTAGGATCGAGCTGGACTACAACACCCGTTGGTTCACGAGGAAGACAGGGCTGGAAACAGAACTGACCCAGCAATCACAATGACCAGCACGTGCATAAGCTGATTGGTGTGACGGATGGTGTTGGAGTCTGCTCTAGCAAACTCACACAAGAATCAGATCTGGGATCATCTCAGATGAAGTTTCTTTGGAGATCCCTCCAACTGAACTGCTGATCTTGGAACCCCAACCATCAAGAGACTGTCAGCCAGTGGACTCTGAATAGGTTTCATTGCAGTTGGGACGGTGAGATTGGCAGCAACCCAGAACTGATGAACTATCGGGACTGTTTGAGCAGGGCCCTTGGAGCGAGCCTCCTGTTGGGGATCGGGGATGGGTGGGAGGTTGGGTGGGGCTTTTCCCTTTGTTACTCCCCTAACCCCAGATACAGGGCAAAATGATTATATTAGCATGGAAGCAATGATATTACCCACTTTCACCCTGTAGTCCTTGACCCTTTGTACCCTAAAAAACTAAGATAAATAAAAAAAACAAAACAAAAAAACCTTTGTCTCTCTCTATAACTCTAACTTTCAAATAAAATAAACCTTCAAAAAGCATCTCTACTTCTGAATAAAAAACTGATTCCCAATGAAACTGTTAAATATATCTTGACAATAGGATCCTGGACTTTGTTCCACTGTTCATATCTACAAGGTAGGATACACGTAAATAGAAGGACGGTGGACTTGTGACTGTCACTAAAGGACTAGAGCAGTGTTAGAACAAGGGGGAATGTAAAGATCAGCAAAATAAATTTTTTAAAAAAAGAGGGCACCCACAAAACCCATTTCCATTTTTTACACCAAAATGTCAGAACCTCTCGCAGAGAAAAACATTTATTGCCTTTTCTTGGGCTAAAAACGTCTTTGCATGGGCAGACCGTGTGGCAGAGCAGTGAAGCCCCAGCCTGTCAGTGTCCTGGTTGCATATCAGAGTCCCTGGTTCAAGAATCAGATCTAACCCTCCACCTGCTTACGCCAGCACCCCACATGGGCACCAGTCACAGCCCAGTTCCTCCTCTTCTGATCCAGCTCTCTGCTGCAGTCTGGGAGAACAGCAGAGCAGGACGCAAGCCCTTGGGACCCTGTACCCAATAGGGAAGACCCACAAGAAGCTCCTGCCTCTTGACTGGCTCAGCTCCAGCTATTGCAACCATTTGGAGAGTGAACCAGTAGATGGAAGATCTTTCTTTATCTCTGAAAATCTGCCTTTTCAACAAAAATAAATAAATCTTATTAACAAAAATTGAGATCTAGTGTCTTTCTAGTCCGCCTGAGAGGCAGGTGATGGCCCAAGTGCTGGGGTCCTGCCACCTTATGGGAGACCCAGATGGAATTCTGGGTTCTGGACTTCATCCTGGCCCAGCAGATGGCTGCAGGGGACACTTGGGGAATAAATCAACAGAAGATCCCAGCTGTTCTGCATTTTGGATAAATAAATCTTTCAAAAAAATTCCTAGGGATTCACTTATCCCCAGCCTGTACATGCATTCAAATAAACATTTATTAAGAGACAGCCACAGTCCCGGTGTGGTAGCCTAGTTGTTGAAGTCCTCGCCTTGCACACGCCAGGATCCCATATGGATGCCAGTTTGTATTCTGGATGCTCCACTTTCCATCCAGCAGCCTGCTTGTGGCCAGGGAAAGCAGTAAAGAACAGCCCAAAGCCTTGGGACCCTGCACCCAGAAGAGCTCCTGGCTTTGGATTGGCTCAGCTCCGGCCACTGCAGTTGCTCAGGGAGTGAACCAGTGGCCGGAAGATCTTTCTGTCTGTATATCCTTCTCTCTGTATATCCGACTGTCCAATAAAAATAAATCTTGAAAATGAAAAGTCAGCCACTATACTTGGCAAGTACACGTGAGCATATTTTATTCTCCCCACATATGAGGTATTAAGTGAGCCCATTTTACAGCTCAGGGATCTGAAGCCTGCATGGATAAAATGCATGCTGTGACCATGCACAGAAAAGCAGCAGAGCTTGGAGCGCAGAGCCGGATGACACTGGCTCAGAAGTCAAGTCCCAGGGCCACCAACACCCAGCCGCATTCAGCCAAACTGGGACAAAAAACTTCCACTCAGGGACTCTATTAAGTCAGTAACACTGACACCTGACACAACCAAATGCACCATTAACTATGTTAAAGGACTTAAACACAGCAGTTACTCTCAGGCAACCTAACCTAAAAATGAATTGGTAAAAAGAACCCGACTTTTGAATCCAAAGAAGTAACAAAAAAATGATTCACAAACAAGTGAAAATGCCAAGGCGCCAAGAGGCTGCGATCCACGGGGATCCTAAAGGGCTAAGTCCTGTCTGAGGACTTTCTATCCCAGCCAGCAGGGCTGGGGCTGGATGGGGCTGGATCCTGGATCGGCAGCTGGCAGCGGGCTGCCCAGCAGGATGACAAGCTGCTTACTGCACTGGTCCAGCACAACTCAGCCGCAAAACCCGAGCTCCTGCATCCGGAATGACGGCAGGGGAAGGAGGTGCTGCGGCCACGTGCGGCTGCCCAGGGCATTTCTGCTCGCTCCTCGCAAGCTCAGCCGAGATCATCTCACCAGGAGGAGCCCATCATGGGGACAGCCAAGCACAGGAAGGAGTTCTCCAGGCAAGAACCCTGGTGCTCCACAGATATGCAGAAACAGAAATGAGGGGAATTGTGCCTGAGGAGAGCGCAGTCACATTCAAGAACAGACACAAAGAGCTGAGGCTCACTTCTCAAAGTGCAGGCTGGCCAGCTGCATGCCAGGGCCCCAGAGGACACTGCAACACAGCAGAGGGACACAAGGCAAGTGACAGCAAACAAAGAGGCCAAGACTCTGCATGCAAGGACAGCACCTGCGTCACGTGGCTGAGGGTACACAGGGTACGGTGCTTTACACCACGTAAGCAGGATGCACCCTAAACTACCGATCCCCATGCTGACAGGCAGGACAGAAAGCACCCACCCTGGGGCTCACCACCCACAGCCGCACCCACCCACAGGCTCACCACCCACAGCCTGCAGGGTGGGGAAAGAGCGCACAAAGGAAATCCATTCCATTCCATTTATTTATAAGAAAAACAAGGCTGACACATGGGCTCAAGTGGCTAATCCTCCACCTCCAAGCTCCAGGATCCCATATGGATGCCAGTTTGTATTCTGGATGCTCCACTTTCCATCCAGCTCCCTGCTTGTGGCTGGGAAAGCAGTCGAGGATGACCCAAAACCTTGGGACCCTGCACCCACATGGAAGACCCGAAAAAAGCTCCTGGCTCCTGGCTTCAGCTCAGCTCAGTTCAGCTCCAGTCACTGCAGCCATTTGGGGAGTGAACCAATGCATGGAAGATCTTTCTGCTTCTCCTTGTCTCTATAAATATGCCTTTCCAATAAAAATAAATTTTCTCAAAATGTAATTAACACTGAAAACTTCAGAGTTTATTACTTTAATTTGAACACAAAGAAAAGGCCATTTCTTTTGTTTCCATAAAGAATACATGTGGTAAATGGCGAGCTCAGAACAACTCCTGCCAGAGCTTCTGCCGTGTTCACAGAGCTCTGAATCTGCTTTTCTGATGAACCCCAGGCTCAAGGCTGCTGCCTCAGAGTTTAAATTCTACTGCAAAGCCTGCGTCCATCGCTGACCACTGGCCCTGCTTCACCTGCTTCTTCCCCTCAAAATACGTTCCTCAAATTAAAAGGTCGTCAAAGCAACATGCACAAACGATCTTTTGGGCATCTCACTATAGCAAATGCAATAACACACGCTCTCTCCCGAGAAAATGCACTTACTTGTGCTTGAGAACAAACTTGACGTTCTTGTAGGCGAAGGCCACCAAGTAGGTGCTGATCAGGGTCATCACGCTATAGAGCACAGCTGACTGGATGAGGTCCATATGCCAGACTCGCCAGTACAGCCCTGAGTGGAGACAAAAGGGGACAGAGTCACTACCAGCACAGCAGTCACCTGCAAAAGTACTGTCAGGGCTAGGGAACATGCCGCGAACACAGACATCCAGGGACGGCCAGCTCAGAGCCCTTGGAAAACATAACCTTCCTACCACCAGCCCTGCTGCTTCTAAAATGAAACTCCAGCCCACCAACATCACAAGACCTCAAGCTTCATTCATCCAGTACTTCGTGTCTGAGTGGGGGCCGTGCACAACGCCACGTGCGGTCCCAGACCACTCCTCGCTTGGTGACGTGGCTGTCCGTGAAATCAAGGCCATGCGGGTTTGGGCTGGCTGGCGAGCGAGAGGCTCCACCCCAACTCCTCGGAAACGTCGGGTTTTATAAAGGCTTTAGAAACATACATTTGGATTCCACTGCCCAAAAATAGTGCACCGATGAGACATACAGTAAGACGGAAATTCAGCAACTCCCAGCTCTAAAACTGATCCGGGCCGGGACTGCGAACAGTTCCTGCTCCAAGTGAGAGCCCGCTAACTGCTCTTCAAAGGGTTACCACAAGTTTTAAGGGGGGCGGACGGCTGACCCCTGGCGCGCTGGGCCAACCTCCCTCGTTTCTGCCGGCTCGAGGGCAGGCAGCTGTTGCCGTAAGCACACGCTTTAAAGTGGGTCGTTCGGCTGGGCAGGAGCTGCAGGCGCTACGCCGCGTAGGCGCAGCGGACTCCCGGCTGGGGCCTGTCTGAACCCGGACTCGGAGCTGCCATCCCAGCACCCCGGCCTCAGCACAGGGGTTCCGCAAGGCGCCCCGCGATGCAGCAGCACGACCCCTCCCGGGAACGCGGCGGCCCCGGAGCCAGAGCCCCGAAGGGCACGGACCTCCCGGCCCGCCGCGCCACGTCCCCCACCGGCCCGCCTCGCTCCGGCACTCACAGATGGGGATGGCGGACACGATGAACGCGTTCCCGAAGAAGAGCGCGGACGACTTGGCCGAGAGGTTGCGGCTGAAGTCCTGCAGCAGCAGGTCCTCCTCGGACTGCTGCTTGGAGGCGCCTTTGGGGGCCATGGCGGAGCGGGAGCGCGGACCGGGAAGGCCGCACAGGACGCCGCACCAGCTCAGGCCTCCGTCCCGCCCGGGCGGCCGCCGTATCCGCGAACGACCCGTCAGCGCTGGGCGAGGAGGCGGGACTCGGCGAGACGCCGCGAGAGCTCCGCCACGATTGGCCAGCCTGGCGTCACTCCACGCAGGCTTCCCTCTGTGATTGGGCAAGCGGGCCAGACCTGCGTAGTCCTGACCAGCCGTGTGACGCGTCCACGTCGAAGAGCAGGTCGGGATTTGTAGTTTCGTGCGTACTTTTTAGAGAGTAACAAAACTTTATTGGCATTGTGTCTTCCAGCTCCTGACAGCTTGGCTCGATCTAAAGTCTTCCGAAATCCAAAATTAAAGGTGTGCGTTCCTCGAACGCACATACGCTCAGCATCCTCAGTGTGCACCCAGCACACATGTAGAGCCCTTTCTGCTTTGTTTCATTGATATTCCATTAAATACTTGAGGAACCCTGGGCTGCACATAGTGACTCCCATTGCGAGTTATTGCGAGTGAAGAATCACAATGGAGGGCAGGTGGTGGGGCAGATGGTAGCGCTTGTCTCCTCTGAAGTTCGGAAAGCTTGAAGATGCCTATTGAAACAGCTGTGAGTCTTTATATCAACATGTTTCAGGATCTCTTTCTCCTCAGCTTTCCAACTGCTGATCGGCCTCCACAACGTCCTTCCTAACTGGGTTTCCATCTTGCATCTTCTCCAGTTGATTCTCTACCAAAGTGTTTTCCTGAAATAGAAATCCTCTCATTCTCCAATAGTCAAGAAAAGTCTTAAGAAAGCTCAGACTGCACATCAGCTTTTAATTCATCTTCCTGGAACTTTTGAAGTCACTTTGTACTCCCAAAGTCTGCAGGTATTCATTAACTCACAGAACACTGGAAAAAAAAAAAAAAGATTTACTAAATAATTCAGAGAACATAAAGTATTCATTTAAAAATACCTGGGTTTGGGGCCCAGTGCAGTAACCTTGTGGCTACAGTCCTCATGCCTGGCATCCATATGGGTGCCAGTTCGTGTCCCAGCTGCTCCATTTCCCTTCCAGCTCCCTGCCTGTGGCCTGGGAAGGCAGTTGAGGACAGTCCAAAGCCTTGGGACCCTGAACCCATGTGAGAGACTAAGAAGAAGCTCCTGGGTCCTGGCTTCGGATCGGCTCAGCTCCTGTGTTGTGGCAACTTGGTAAGTGAACCAAGTGGGAAGTGGATGGGAGATCTTTGTCTCTCCTCTCTGTAAATTTGACTTTCCAATAAAAATGAATAAATCTTTTTTTAAAAAAAATACCTGTTTTCTTTTTCCGTTTATAACCTAAAATTCTCTGTCTTTATTATTTGGTGATGATAGGAAAAGAAATTGCTGTTTTCCCTTACAACATACTCTTCCAGTTTCTCCTACCTTAGCAAATGTCATCCTTTTCCCCCATTTACTCTAGTTAAAAATGCTTTAGTGCAATACTAATTCATTTGTTCACTGCTACGTATATAAACAATTCATAAATAAAATGTTTCGGGTTTGTTTCTCTATGTCAATGTCCTTTTAACTTACTTTTATTGGAAAGGCGGAGTTACATGAAGAAGGGACGAACCTTCCATCCACTGACTCACTCCCCAAATGACCACAGTAGCCGAAGGTGGGCCAGCAAATCACCAGGAGCTTCCTCTAGGTCTTCCACCTGCGTACAGGGGCACAAGGACTTGTACCATCCTTTGATGCTTTCCCAGGGAGCTGGATCAGAACTGGAGCAGCCAGGCCCAGCCCAGTAACCTAGTGGCTCCCCATGGTTGATGTTCTGACTCCAGTGGTTTAGTTGGGGGGATCCCCAAAGAAACCCCATTTGAAGCGATTTCAGACCTGACTCTTATGTGTGCTGGCCAGTACAGAGTCCAGCTCTGTCGTCCCCCACATCAGCCTACGCACACACTGGTAGTGCAATTGCTAGGTCAGTTCTGTTCCCAGCCCTGTCTCCCACATAAAGCAATGGATGCTGCAGCCCACCCCTGCCCACCACACACTCTTGCCCTGATATACACCATCGGGAACTGAAGCCCAGTCGGAGTAGCCCCCAGTGACCCCCACCAGAGTTACACTAAGTAGTAAAGTTGTGTTTTCTTGCTCCCAAACCTATATACTTTGAAGTGCACCTGGACCTAAGGTTGTAGCATATACAGGTCAGACCATACAATAGACAAGCAGGATAAACAATATGTATAAATAACGAAATAAAGTTAGGGAATTCTGCAGACACAGCTCAATTCCATGATGAAACCATTCTACTCTGCAAGTTTCACACTTTATGTTTCTATTATATCATTCTGTAATTAATCAGATTACGGTAAATAATTTTAGCAACACATTTATTGCTCTCAAAGATATGGGTACCAGTTTCTCTGATCCGCGGTGGATGGCTTTGTGGAAGAAAGGCCGCCAAGGTCACAGTTAGCATACATTCCTGTGGCAGACATGGCAGCTAGACCAACCAATACATAAAGCAACTGGCGGCTTGTCACCAGGGCCCATGAAAAATGACAAATGGATCATCTAGAGGGAAAAGGAACAAAGAAGCTCCTGTTTCAAACTCCATTTGAAATGCAAAATAATTATGCAAATTAATTTAAAGGAAGAGATAGAGAACATTTACTAGGTATAATGTTTAATGATACCCGGGAGAGATGATTTATTTACACAAGCCACTTCCAGTCACTGCAATTAGTTGGTTAGTTCATGTATTCATTTAGCAATTATCTATTGAGAAGCTACTATATGAGAGATACTGTACTAAAATCTTAGAAGCACTAGAATAATAATGATTATTATTATTACAGTAATTAAGAATAATTGAGTCAAGCCCAGCACGATAACCTAGCGGTTAAAGTGTTTGCCATGAGTGCGCCGGGATCTCATATAGGTGCCAGTTGTAATCCTGGCGGCCCCACTTCCCAACCAGCTCCCTGCTTGTGGCCTGGGAAAGCAGTTGAGGACGGCCCAATGCTTCGGAACCCTGCACCCACGTGGGAGACCTGGAGGAGATTCCTGGCTCCTGGCTTCGGATTGGCTCAGCTCCAGCCATTGCAGTCACTTGGGGAGTTAACCAATGGATAGAAGATCTCTCTCTCTCTGTATCTCATTCTCTCTGTAAATCTGATCTTACAATAAAAATAAATAAATCCAAAAAATACATATGTTTGTGTAAATTGGAAAATAAAACAGCTAAAAACTGGTTCCCAGAAGACAGAGTGCTTCTTGCTGAAAATTTTAAAGACTTGTCTCTGATTAGCAAAAAGGATAACCCCTTTCTTCTACTTGCTTCAGTAAGGACAGGGCAGTTAGAAAAAGAGGTGTTCAATATGATATAGCAGACTTATAGATGAGAGAAAGAATTGTTTTCTCAAACCTGTTCTCCTCCAGAGAAACTTATTATTGCTTGCTTACTGTAACGGTTGGTTTAGGTCAACTTGACCAGACTAAGAGGTGTCCCTAAGGCTGGTAAAGCACCGTCCCTGGGGCATCAGCAGGTACTCTGGCAGAGATCGGTGTTTGAGTCAGCAAGCTGTATCCTTATCCGTGAGGGTGGCTTCAGCCAGCATGTTGAAGACCCAGATACAAAGCAAAGGGGGAGTTAGGGTGTGTTTAGTCTAGGTGGAGCTGGGTTCCTGTTCTCTTGCCCTACACTGCTGCTCCTGGTTCTTGGCGCTGAACTGGGGTGAGCACTGTGGGTCCCAGTGGTTCTCAGGGCTCTGGACTTGGACTGGAAGTACACACCAGCTTTTCTGGGCCTCCCAGTGGATCCAGCGTATCATGGGACTTCCTGGCATGAGCTAATCCCTATAATTCATGTGTGTGTGTGTGTGTGTGTGTGTGTGTGTGTACAGCCTATTTGTCCTTTTTCTCTGGAGAACCTTGACTAATACAATTTTAAAAGGATTTTGAGAGTTGGAAATACAAGAACATATAAAGAAGAAAGCAAAAATTAGCCATGATTTCAAAAGCAAGAGAAAACTCTTTTGTTAATATTTTGAAAGATTTCTTAGTTGTTTTCACATATCTGCAATGAGTGCTATATAATTTTGATTACTTTTTCAATTGCCCCATTGTGAACATATTTCAATGTCAATGAAAATGTCTTTAAAACATTCTAATGACTGCAAAATTGTCTTTTAGATGAATGTATCACATTTTATGTATTTATTTTACTAACTCATTATTTTGTAATCACAAAATAATTATGTCCATTTGTAAAATTAGAGATTGTGCTATATAAATCACCCACAATCTTATGTTTCGAATATAACCACTGTTAATATTTTGATATATTTTCTTCTAATATTTTTCTATGACTAGCTAGTATGTACTTACAATAATTGAAGCCATCAATTACAAATATTTTTCCCATGTCATTCAAAATGCTTTCAAAATATTTTTAGTATCTGTAAAACATTAAATGAAGGATCTCTGATCTCACTCCCTTGCTTACAGACAAGAGAGAAATTTCCAGGCGAAAAAAAAAAAAAACAGAAAATGTGCAGATAGAGAGGGAAAAGATAGGGAAGTAGAAGGTTCCATGGAAAAATACAGGCTTTCGTGGCATACAAAAGCAAGTGGCCCCTTCCAAACTCAGGGGATCATCTCCAAAGAGGAGTAAGGAGGTCTGACCGCCTTCAGCCACAAAACAACAGATCCCCTTCTCAAGTGCAAAGACAAAAACCCAGCAAAAGTAACTGTAACCCAGAGATCAAAAGTAAGGAAGAAGGTCCACAGTGAGCCAACTGGCTAACCCTTCACCTGCAAGTGCTGGGATCCCTTGTGGGCATCGGTTCATATTCTGGCTGCTCCTCTTCTTTCCAGCTCCCTGCTCATGGCCTGGGAGAGCAGCAGAGTTAAAAATATTTATTTATTTGTGTTGGAAAAATAGATTTACAGAGAAGGAGAGACCAGACAAAGATCTTCCATGTGATTGTTCACTCCCAAAATGACCACAACTGCTGAAGCTGAGCTGATCCAAAGCCAAGAGCCAAGAGCCTCTTCCAGTCTCCCACGTACATGCAGGG